GGCTTTCGGTCCCAGCGAGCAGAGTATAAGAAGCCAGCCCTCGAGCAAGACAGTCACTTGAGTCATATTGGGGGGAAGAATAGAGGGCGAAAAGAGGAACCCCGCCCGGATAAGGCTTTACCATACTTATTCATGGAGATTGAACCGGACTTCTAAACATAGTATCGACGCAATCAGCAAACAATATACAATATTATAATGGCTGAGATAGAGCATATCGAGCCAGAGTTACAGTATCCATTAAGTAAATCCCAATGTTATCATCGCCAAGAGATGCATTATGCCTGAAGTGCGACCCCCTGACGACTGGCGACATCATCCACATGGACGCCAAACACCAGGCGATAGAGATCCCGCAGCCAAGAATATTGATTGCCCTGTGTCGTCACTCGGACAGCCCTTGCTATATCCGCAGCATTCGAATGCGGTTGCAAGCCAATATTGCGGAATACTGGGTCATGTGCCAGAAGACTCTTATAACTCCTCAGAAGTGACATTTGCCACGGTGCCGATCCAAACGCGTCTGATGAAAGCGTCTTTACAAAGCTTGATAGGCTCTGTGATTTCTCGGGCTGAAATCCGCTGTCGACCGCGGCCTTGGTCAGTAAAGCTTGTATGCATGCCAGGGTCGTATCGTTAGGCGACGTTCTTATAGTATTTGTCGAAGATGTTTGCCCAGAACCTTGGCTGATATCTGAGACCGTTGACAAGCTCGAGGACCACCTTGCCTGCACAAATTGATCGGCATCTTTTCCCAAGAGAAAAATGTTCTGAACTGGGGCGTCATCCGGCGAAATAGTGGTGGTCTCATCGAAAATGGTCGTAGGAGTTTCGGGATTACCTCGCTGGCGCAGCCGTTCATCTGTAGCAGCGATTTCCTGTTGGCCGGCCTGCTGCATGCCATGGGTGAAGGTGGCCTGACTCGGTCGTGGCGTTCCACGATCAGAGTAACGTAAGCTACGTTGTGTCCATCCCTCGCGAAAAAGATCACAGAGTTCCCAGCAAGCTTGCACAGCGGAGCCAAGCATTTCTTCATTTATCGGCCTCCCTTCCCTTTTACCTTGGCGGATTGTGAACAGCATCTCCGCCAAAGACCAAGAAGCCTTCAAAAGGGAGTCGGTCTCCGAGACACGGGTCCTCTGTTTCATGAGACGATGACAAAGGGTGATATAGAAGTCTAGCGTCCTTTCCCTGAAAGCGTCTGGTAGATGTCGATCATGCGTGTTGTAAAGATGATTGTTTAATTCGAAACTGACCCGAAGCACTGAATCTGCAAGCTCGTTGTCACGGATGCGGATTTCAAATAAATTTTGGCAGAATTCACGACACAGGTCTAACGTCGGCTTGACCGGCGACACATACTCATCTTGTTGACTCTCATATAACTCCTGACACAACTTCCAGCACGATGTCCATGCATTTTCTTCGATGAGACCAGTGCCAGCATTGTCCGCAGTACGCCCGCGATGGATATAGCTCAGTCTGGCTAATGTATTACAGAGCGTCCAGCATTCCGCGAGCGCTGTTTTGAGTGCTTTGATCTCAGCTTCACCGTCAAAAAGATGCCGAACGGCGGCTTCGAGTGTGCCTGACCCCCCGTCTACTGTGGTAGAGACACCTGTAGTTTGAACTGGAGGTATATTCTGATGCACAAGAATGCTCGGCTCATAGAACGTAGAGTCCGTAGATGTATGTTGCTTAGGAGCCGAGATTTCACCGGCGAGTACACTCGGCTGAGACTGGAGGTCAATGCTTTCGAAATCCTGCCTTGTTTGTGCTCGAGGAGTTGCTCGCTCTGACCAATCTTTCGCAGGTTCAATAGAAGTGGTTAAAGGAGACGGTGATATAGAGTGCTTCTGTAACGAAGTCAGTCGCTGCTAGCTTGTGGATTGAGAGCGATAAAGCACCTTTCCTGATTCGTCGTCTCGAACTATCGATGGTGCTATCTCGGCCGAGTTGCTGTGCGATGATGCCATAACTGGGTCGATCAAGCTGTCGGAGTCGTCATAGTTGCCAAACTTCTAGAACAGACACAGCTTCAGCAACTAGGTAACGGCCCACAGATCGTCTGACATGATCCTTACAAATTGGCGAAAGCCAGGAGGTGCATGTATCACAGACCGTGGAGCATCATCATCATTCGCTCGTGGGCCAAGAGCGGCAAGAGAAGTCTGTTTTGTTTGTACCTATATTTTGATGAAGGTCAATGACGACTATCAAAACTCTCATGCATAAATGATACTTACCCTGAGTTCGGTCTGGTTGGCGTGAGATATTCGCTGCTGGGGTTTAGTGATTTTAGATGCAAGTGGTCTTTCCGAGTCGTAGATGCCAGTGTCATCGTGCTCTACAGCGTCCGTCTGATCGTGTGATGGAATTGTTAGTGAAGAGTCCAAGATATCCATGGTCTCAAGTCCATGTTTGGCAGGGCGATCATCAATGGACCTGGTGTGTTAGCAAATACAAGGTCATCCGACGGAAATCCTCTCAGGTCCTTACATCCTAAAGGAGTCACTGGGCTTGTGTCCAGTATTTTTTGAATCTGCCAATCGGCTATAATGGAGTGCCACTTTGTACAGTCAACCTCAGCCCAGTAGTGCTCCTCTTTCGACTGCAACAGCAAAGAACATGGTATGGCCATTTTTGGCTTAGCTTCTGATAATAAGTACGTCTGATCTTGGACGGGCTGTGCTGCGTAAACAATCTCCCCGCTTGTACGAAGCAGTTGGGCGCCTATTAGGTACCTGTTCTATAAAGGTCCAGGCCAAAGTGTGTTGAAAGTTAGCTGTTGATTTTTAATGCTCACTCATGAGCGCAGTAATTCCCCGAGCAAACCGTAATATCATGGCATTGTATAAGAGCAGTATACCTATATCTCTTTTAAGATGAATTTTGCAGATGTGGTGCATACCTACCTACTTTGTAGCAAATACCTGATAACAAGAAAGGTAGGTAGTTAAGCATTTAAAGTATGAGGGGCTGCACCCAGGTTAGCTTGGACATTCTTCACAGCTAATGAGACATATCAATGACTTTCTTTGATAAGGTACTTCGTGACGGCTAGGATTGGGGAATTTATAGCAATGATTTCCTTGTCATTGGTTCAAATGCTGATGTATACGGAGTACTTTGTGGGCATATGCTGCAGGGTCATACGTTAGTGCAAATGATTTCCGAAATCTACTATAATTGCCGGTCTCAATCCAGGTGCAAGGATTCCAGTGTAGTGAGTAGATATATGTCAGCTACAAGCAATAGGAGCAAGGGGCTTTGCTACCTCTTCCTTCTTTGCGGCATCCATAGAATACGGAATTCAGATCAAAACGCCCGAATATAGTGATGTCAACAGTAGTCACATGCATGATATAGAGAAGCTTAAGGCTGCTGCATGGCAGCATTTTTCATTCCTAGGCCAAGATTGAAAGTGGTGGCAAACAATTCATACTTATACCAGGTTGTAAAGTTGGCTGCAATCAAAGTATAGCTAGGTCAAATTGCATAGATGCAACAGAGTGCCCCGGGCATTCTGATGTTCTCCCAGATAAGAGCTCAACTATTGCATATGCAAATCACTGTTCAGAGCTCGAGTCATCCTCATTTCACAGTCAAAATAAAGTCGACCCAGTATCCAGAAAGCACCTCGAACGTAGGGAATATGATAGATCGCCCGAGATTAATCATACGTCTCAAGGCTGACAGCATGAAAGCATGAAAGCGACTCAAATAAGACTGATCTGAGATGTTGAGCTCTTAAAATTCAGATTATCCACATGATCAACAGGCAAAGTAGCGTAGAACCACAGAAGCGAGGAAATGTGATCGATGCCCCGCAGACGGAGGAAAAGGTTCCACTTTACTTCTCCTATACCATGCCTTTTCGGATACTGTCGGTTTGAACTCAGAAGTAGGCGTGGCCCTCATGGTAATCGAGAGGCATGATAGCAGTAAAGCGACGGGGAGGATGGGAAAAGTCGGTACTGCCGCCGAAACGGGACTAGCAAGGCCCTGCACTGTGGGCAAGGTCTTGCACTATGGGCATAACCCGGTCGTTCTGTCAAGTAGGCCAGGGAGAGCGGAATTGGAGATATTGAGGGTACGTAGGCACAATAGATCCCACAGCCAGAAGACAGAAACATCATATTTGAGATTTTGCCCGATCTCTTTCAGCAGGATTGTACCTATCAGGAGAGTATAAGTATAGCTGCGTACGAAGTCAGGATCATATATACTCACCGAAGAAGCTTTTCAATGAGATCGACGTGGGTCATGATCATTCTGCGGCAACAGTACCTCTTGCAACCAAGCTGATCCATAGCATCACTTTACAAAAGGTATTAGCAAAACAATTAAATTCAAAGGAAAAACTGGGTAAATGGAGGGTCAAACTTACCCATCCGGAATACCCTCATCAAGTAGCTGTAAATAACGTTCCCAAAGATCACCGACAACCTGGTAGAAATCTATGAGCAACAGCAAGCAGCTTGTTAGAAGGATCAAGTTTACCTTGCCACAAGAAAAGCACCGAACAGGGATAATCATTGGGTCAAATTGTATGCTAATGAATTTTTTGAGAAGATCAAGAAGGATGCAGAGGATATAAGGTCAATACAGGACACACAATGTAGAACAAAAATGGTATTGCTTTATTGGATCCTGTATGATACTTGCAGAGACTGAACAGAAGAATGAACGAATATCCTGAAAGGTACGAGAAATGCGGACATATAATTTTGCATCGCTTCCCCACATAATTACTGTTTTAGGAAATTGGCTAACCTTATATATACTAGCCTCAAAATCTGGGAGATCTTGGTGGAACCCAAAAGGTTTCGAAAGAGAAAAAAAAGAACTGATTGAAAAAACAAGCCTACAAGAGTACCATGACTCTTTGTATATCGAACTACCTCACGGCATCTCTGAGGTCATTGTAGCAGTCTGAACTAAGCTGCATCGTTTTGAATCTGATCCCCAGGACCTCACCTTGCCTAATCTCTCTTACAATGTCGGGTTCGAGTCTCGCGCCAGGACATACAAAAAGATCCAGAACTAGCGATGCCCTGCGCACCGAGAAGGATAGAACCAAGCGTCGTCGATTTTCCAAGGGCGCACTTGATGTTACTGAAGACGTACAACTAGCTGCTAAAGGAATGGCAATTGAGAATAACAATCAGAATGCCACTTCCACACAAGATACTTCTGCGCATGCTCGTGAGCAGCAGACGAAATTCTCCCACGAAAATTGGTGTCTCTCAAGTCCAGTCGGTGGGCAGTATAGCAACCTCGACCCGATTATCACTTCGGATGAAGAGTGAGTTACCTCAAGAGTTGATGCGAAGGCTTGATTATTATAGCGAAGAGCGCTAAGTGAATTCGTTTTAGGTATCTTCTTGTCGGGACTGAAACAGCAATTCATGTTCATTCGATTGGGACCTCTTACCGGTCCCGTACGTTACAGTTAAGCGATGGTCAAAAAGTCGTTGGTTACAATATCTGCTCAGAAAATCCGCAACATCTTTATATCATCACTTCAACTGGTTGTGTGAGCAAGTGGGATTGGCTTTCTGGAGATCAAATCGCTTCTTGGGATTTGGCCCGAGAGACACTCCTTGCTGAATTATGCCCCTCTGAGGTCGGGAAATTAAGGTATGAGCTTCTCTTTTCTTTGCGAGGGCGCAAGGATGGAAAGAGACAACTTACAGTCACCTTATTCAATGGTGGAACACCACGCGACATTGTTGTCTTTGAAACGACCCAACGAATAGACAATTTCAGGGTTTTCAGACAGGGTCAAGCGATAGTCGCATGGGCTGGTCAGCGCCTTCTGCTTGGCACCAGGGAATTTAACACGCCGGACCCGTCAACTATGCAGTACGCCTGGAGGGAGGTCGTCCTACCTGTCCGTGTTACTTGCATTGATGTTCGAGAGAGCAAAGCACGAAATCGAACAATACCACAGGGCTCACAGGACAATAACCTAGATACCATGGACCTTGTTTTGGGAGAATCTGGGGGCTCAATCTTAATCTATCCTGATTTTCTTGCTCTTTTCCCTACAGGTGGCATTGGCTCGGATGATAGCAAGGGCCTGGCTCCTCGACGGCTGCATTGGCATAGAGGTCCCGTCAATGCAGTCCGTTGGTCAAAGGATGGTATGTACCTACTCTAGCCAGTGCAAGTAAGGAGGCAGCCCCGTTAACAGGATTCAGGTAACTACATAATCTCAGGCGGAGATGAGTCAGTCATGGTACTATGGCAGTTAGATACTGGTCGCAAGCAGTTTTTACCTCATCTCTCTTCACCCATTTGCAATCTAGTCGTTTCTACAACTGGAAAAGCTTACATCGTGAAGCTTGCTGACAACTGTATCATGGTGCTGTCAGCGACAGAGCTGCAACCTTATGTTACTATCACTGGCCTGCAACTTTGCCCCAAAGTCAACAAGCCTGTCGATGCAGCTCTGCCAGAGTCGCGTATCTCATTTCAACCTCCTGCAGCTGTATTGCACCCACAATTCCATGATCGGCTTCTAGTGGCGGTACCAGCTTCGCGTCATGCCGCACGGGATTATCATTCTACAACGAGTTCGTGCATGCTACAGACATACGATATCCGCACCAACTCTCAAATTTCCAGACAAGCTCTTGCACGGACCAATGCCACGACTTTGAGGATCAGTCCAGAGGGGACCGAAATTGTTGCCCCGGACGTCAGTCACCTTGACATATGTCAGGATGGAAAGTGGATGGCGACGATCGATGACTGGATACCGCGCCCTGAAGATATCAGGGCTCTTGAACCGAATAGTACTTCGACAGGCAGCCATACGCTTTCCCGGGAAACATACCTCAAGTTTTGGAGATGGGACGAAGTGTCCAATATGTGGGAGTTAACTACACGTATCAACAGCCCTCACTCCTTCGACAGCGTTTCGGTGCCTATTCTGGATCTCGCGTCCAGACCATACAGTCATGAATTTGCAACAGTGGGCTGTGATGCCGTGCTCCGCTTCTGGTGCGCTAGTAACAGGCCGCGCCTGGGGTTGGCAACGAAACGTCCAGAACACCGATATCAGACCTGGAAATGTCGAGGTACTATCGACCTAAAAGGCGAATTTATTGGTGGCGGAACTGAGCCTGCAATTGCAGCCTGTATGGGCTTTTCTGAGGACGGGTCGGTGCTTGCTGTTTGCGTGCAAACCAGGTCCAGTCCGGACTCCGGCCTCGTCATCCTGGTGGATATGCAGAATTGCAAACTTCATCACAGTAGGGTAGGGGTTTACTCGGGTCGTCCATGTGCAGCCAGATTCTTGGGACGCTATCTTGTTGTCCTATCCCTGCATTCGACACATATTTGGGATACAGTTGGCGACATAGTCAGAACGACCAGTTCATCAGCCGTTCAGGATAACACTCCGTGTGAAGATCAACTTCTGGCTGTGAGCTCAAAGTCGCGAACCTGTGCAGTTGCCTCAAAAGTCCCGCGACATCTGGCTGGAACGAGAAGGACGTGCGGATCTCTGTTTGATATACGAGTCTATGATGTGCAGACCTTGTCCCTGCTTACTCGACAGTCTTTGAAGCATTGTCCGGTATCCCTACTTTCAGATCCACTCACTGGGGATTACATCGTCGTTGATGCCAGGGCCAATGTGCAACGCCTCAGTTGTTCTGATAAAGCTCCCCAGTTAATACCGCAATCCAAGGAGGGGACCTCTCACAATTACGGGCTTGGAAGCTTATTTGGAACACGTTCTCGCGACATGAGTAGGCATGATAATCTTCAGCCTCTTCCAGTCAGCGGAAGCTCTTCAGCCCCGCAGTCATTTGGGCTACCCGGGGTCTTTACTGATACTCCTCCATTTGTGTTGCCTCCCACTAGTGTTCTTTTCAAAAGTCTGGTTCAAAATCTTACAACTTGAATGGGCAGACCAGAATCAATGTACCTTGTCTGTTAATACAACACGAAAAATTCTTTATTCTATTTGCTGTCCTTGTTGCCATTATTGACGGTGAGGTGTCTTTATGATTTTCCTTGATTGCCTGCATAGGCGCATCACATATATCAACAGTCATAATTCAATTGTGCACATAAATCGGAGACAGATCGGACATTTCATCAAGGCTCCGACTTGATCTCATTACGCAAACCCCATGGGTCATCTCAATTGACGTCACTCAACCACAGGTTTGAAAGCAACATCAGGTTATAGTGGAAATTTCCTACCCTAAGCAAGATAGCATGAGGCCAATTTACAGATCGTCGAGGCAGGATGAAGCAGGGCACAACTGAGTAACAAATGGTTCCCGAGTTCAAGCCAAGCAGCCGATCGATCCGTCGCCTTTTTGTGTATTGGATACATATGTGGATGCCTTTTAGAGCCTAAGCTAGGCGACAGACAATGTATGCTCTCCGCCCATGTACATGCGTTAAATAAGCGTCGAGTTCATTATCGTCATGGATGTTGAAAGTGACTTCGTTTCCATGCTCATCCTGATCGATTCCCTGAATCTTGGTAACGATGGAACCAGGATACCTAGAAACAACTAGCTGGCGTAACTCGGTGACGGATTTTGTTGCTAGTTTCTCGACGCTGGTCTTAGACTCGTGAACCTGGTTTGGAGGATAGGTTCGCACATAGATCGGCACTTGCAGCGAAGTTGAATCTAGAATAGGGTCAACATATCCAAAAGGATTCCCAGTATCATGAGTTGCTGAGGCAAACGAGGTATCATTTGCCGCTTGCAGAAGCGAGGGATCTATTTGCATGTCACTTAAGTCGCCCGATGTCATCGGGGCGCTGGCGAGAGCTTGCGACGCAAGCGTGCTGATTCCATTAGTAATGCTGCCGAATGCACTATTGTCATGGGTGCCAGCAGCGTCTGGACTTGAAATATTGGTGCGAGTAATAGACTTCTTCCGAGAGGGATCTCGTTTGGTTTGGTCATCACGAAGTCGCTTCATAACATCGCGACAGAGCACTTCGAGAGCTTTCAATTTCGTAGCATGCTCCGGATCCGCCGAGCCAGGGGCAAGGATGCGTTGCAGCAACTCAGTGTCTCGAATCCAACTCTCCTTCAGTTGCTTCCAATGCTCGTCACCAGCCTCCAACTTGCTAGTAAAATGAGCCGCTTTTAGTGTATTGTAAAATGCGTTGCGAATTTGGCGGCTTTCTTCGGGATTGATCCCAAGGGCGTTTTTAGCTTCCGCGATTGTCATTCGCCTTTCTAATGTCCTCATCCGTTTAGTGACATCTGTACAAACGACATCGAGAGCGAGGGCTTTGGCATCCAGCCGATTGGGATCTTCCCAGAATACCCGCTGAAGATGTTCAGACTCTTGTATTAGTCTGTTTTTTGCTTCCTGCCATCTTTCAGGTCCAGCAACAGTTTTCTTGATAAACCCTGCCTCTTCACATATCCTTTGAAACTGATCTCTTATTTGACGGTAACTAGAATTGTCTAGGCTCAGGTATTTCTTACTCTCATCGATTGTGGTCTCAGAAGGAAAGCGAGGTGGCCCAGGCGGGTCGGCTGGTAGTCCAGCCCATTCCCTGGTGCGCCGACGCCGTTTCCTGGAAGCCCAACGTTCAGCACTCTCCGCTTTCAAGCGTTCAAGTCTCTCTTGACGCTTCGCGAGTACATCAGCTGATAAGCTAGGCGATGGAGGCCGCATGACCGATGAATCGGCAGGAAGATTCTGAGCGTCGTAGTAGGGTTCTGCAGTCTTGTAAACTTCCTGTTGGAGTGCCAGTAGTCCCTCGTCTTCTGGTAGCTGCACAGATGGTCGGATAGTTGCTTGCGACTTCATTCCATTGGGAACACGGAGTAGCCAGCGATTCTTCGCGCGTACTCGCATCAATTCTCTTTCTTTAATCTCAAAGCCTTCTTCATTCAAGACGCGCAGCATGTCCCGTTGGCTTGTATTCCGCTCCCAAAGTTGTTTGATGCGAGCGACAAGCTCAGCATTTTTGTGGGCCGGGTTCTGTTTGGAAGGAAAGCCCCATCGCTTAAACTGAGTCTGAAAGGCGCGCTTACTGTTACGTGTATGTCTTAGCCAAATGTGAACGAGAAACGTAATCGAATCTTGCGTTTTCAAGAATGGGAGACGAAGAGCACTGGCTTAAAGGACTATGTGCATACCTGGGTGAGAATTGATATACATTTCGCATGTATTCCATAATTTCCTCTAGCGCTTTTTTATCTTTGATGTACATCTGATAGCATATTTCTCTCTTGCCCTCCCAGTCGTATACCATGACGAGAGTTCGGTGAGACGCTCCCCCCAAGTGGAGGTGCGTCTCAGGAAGCGTACCTGATATCAGGAAGAGTGATAACGGGAGCCGATAGGACAATGGAAGAAAAGGCGCCTGTTGTCGCTCTTGCAGACCGTAGTCAAGCTGCCGTTGAGCTATCTGGCACGCCGTAGAATAATCCTAAAGTCTGGCTGCGCAGAGACTGCTTCTGCGCAATTTTATGGTACCGCTCACGTGATTGGCCACCTTCATGCTCACCTTACGAAGAGACCGCTACTTACTGACATTTTTACATTGAGAATACGACCCATGGCAGGCAGCAAGATGAAGCATTTGGACAAGTCTCGACTCATGAGAGTCTCATACGATCATTGAAAATCGTACAAATGACCCAACTAAGCGGGTGATCCTCGAATGTGGGCACGGTAAATGGATTCTGTCAAGTCTAGCCTTCGCTCAAACTGAATCCCATATCATGGGTCCGCTATGATTGGGACGTTAGATATTATCAGCCAAAACTTTGGAACTTCCTGCGTATCTTGAAGACCCTAGTCCGTAACCATGTTAAAAACAACATCCATGTCGTCTTGGATTCTGATCTCCAAGAGCCTGGATTCGACTTGCGCTGTGGCACATCCGTGGGAGAATCTAGTTCTTCAGTGGCAATCGACTTCTCAGATAGCCCATTCTTGGGTCCCTGTTTGTTTGCAATTGTAAATGATGTGCGCCAGTCTTGTTTTCCCTTTCGTCTCATTTGTTTCTCTTCAGCCCTCAGTTGCTGTTCTTCAAGCTTGCGTGCTTTGGCTGCTTCTTTTTCCTCAAACGCTTGACGTGCTGCTTGAATTGTGGCGGCACGAGATATAGGATCCATGCTTGTCCGTGTCTTCGATCGGAACACGAAATCTAAAGATGATCTTGAGACTGGTGACGCTGCTTCAAGGGAGCTGCTGTTGTCTCGTGAATAGCCAAAAGATGTTCGTCCGGTCAGATTCGTTTGTGATATACTAGGCATTCTTGTGAACGAACTATCATGCATCTGCAACGAATGTCGCGCTGTCTGTGTAGCAAATCCACGAACGGAAGATCGAAGTGGATCAGATTCTCGAGTAGACTGTCCTGGCTCGGTCGAGACTCGTCCTTTAAACCCCTCGTTTTCCACGAGAGGTGTTTGACAGGACTGACTTAATTGTGGGGTATAGGTACCAGGCACTTGGCGCATTGGGTGAACGCAACGCAAGTCGGAATTGTCCATGCCTGGGCTGCTCGCCGTAGAGAAACATGGTGTTCCGCTGATAGACCGGGTATGCAATGAAACAGTCCTCCTGGCACCAGTTGTAGTGTGAGAGTCGCTGCGACAGTCTCCTCTCCAAGAATCCGTGGATATTTTGAGCCCTTCTTCCTCAAAAGATGACCTTGGGTGATCAATTGACATTGTTGATAGGGTATTGCGAGGTGACTTTGCGGGTAAGGGCATGATTTTGGACCTTCAATGAAGTAAGGACCCAATGCTTGGGTGATTATTCGGATTGTCAATATGACTGAGTATCACCTCTGGAACAAGACGTGTGAATTTGAAATCCTTCATGTATCAGATAATAAGGAGGGATTCTTGAAGATCGCTCAGTTGCGCCGAAGAGTGGACTGGCAATGTAGTATCATGGCGAAGTGACAGGACCCTATCTTCCAAATGCGCTGTCCAAATATGCATGAAAGAATTTGAAGGTAAAGAGAATCGAATCGATTGAGATTATTTGCAGCAAATTGACTTTCGCTTGTGCCAAACGAAGGGGAGGTCAGATATAAACTGCCTTTCCTATTCCACGAGAGCGCTCTGACGAAAAGTCTCCTTGGACCGCATGAGACAATATATGCTCAATGCTAGGACAAGGAATTCATGGCCGTCTCAGAGCACGCTAAATAGCTAGGTAAGTGCAAGTAGGGCAAGTCAAAGCCGTTGTTAAGAAGCCGATATTTGAAGCTCGTAGTATCTATTATCTGATATCTACCGGAGCTGAACCAAGAGAGTAGCGGGGTAAGACTATGTGTGGTATCGGCCGGCCCAGAACACTGGCATCAATCAGAATTGGTGAAGCTGAAAACAAGAGATGCAGACCCAAAGTCTGTGGTCAGATTGAATAATGAGGAGGTGCTGGGACACAAAGTCAATATGTACTTAATGATTTGCACGCACATTTGGGCACTGTTCAGCCACAAGACCAAGAAGGCTCGTGGTTAGGAGGTCAGGACACACTGTGGATTTACCGGAAAGACGGAGGAGTGGTTTCCCGGACAAGGCTGGGAAACCATGTAGATACCTACCTACAATACTCGTATCAAGCACTCCGTACAGTACAGCTGGATGTCAGGTACAATAATGTATCTCCCACCCGGTAGTATGGAGTAGCCTATCTAATAAGTTGTAAGCCTATGCCACAAAGATGCATAGTCTACCGTCACATCGTACCTAGGTACCTGGGTAAGCTATCCACTACTGTAGGTAGGCTGGTACTTTAGCTTCTGTGCAGGTACCGCAGTGAAGGTACCTATGTACGGAGCACAGTCTTACATGATAACACCCTGGATAATGATCATTACCGAGGTGAATGATACCTTATTCCCTGCGGGTGGACTCTACTCGAGTGTGGTGTGTGTCATACTGGGCAGACGACGGGAAACAGGAAGAACGATAGAACATATCTTGAAATACCTCTCTAGAGGTTGAGACGATACTCACAAGCACATTTGGCCACCTACTATAACTACTAGGCTGTGAATATCTGTAATAAAAATGAAGGTGTAGCTCGGAGACTGTTTACTCCGCAGTGGCTGGGGTGTTTCAGAGATAAATAAGGTACCTTTTACTTTACGGTACCTGTACTCCGTAGTACCACAGGTACGTACTCCATACTTGGGTAGTGTAAGGTACGGTCTGCTTGGCGCCGGACGCGGATGGCCCTTACCCAGTCTACAGGTATTCTCTTCCAATAGTACTCGGTACCTCACGTCCCCCGGGGCCTTGTACCTTTACCTTAGGTAATAAGTACCTTACATAATAACGTCCTTGAGCCTTCACCCGAAGTGCAGAAGTTTCTACAGATTATATCATCATCAGTTCACCACCTATCCAGAAGACGCTACTATTATTGTTATTATTTACCATGGTTATTATTACTACCTAGGCTTACCATAAATATTGCAAGGAGTCCTAAATACTCCATATGATAAATAACCAATAACAGTTCATAGATTCGTTCTGAGACCCACTGTTAGCTGTTTTGTTGGTATTTATCAACCTGTGTGGGTGCTGCCAAGAGGTTAAGCACTGAACAATGAGCATGAAGTCTGAGGGCCTGTCCTATCATTGTATACCGCCAAGAGGCCAATTGGGAACTCGAATGGTGATAGGGCTCCTTAGTCCTAAATATCGATCACTCCACTCCTTGCTTACTGTCATTCTCGCCCAAGGCCTGAATCAAAACCCATGGCGGGGTACTCATTCTATTCCTCTCCCCCTCCTTGACCAGGTACACAGCAGGCCCCGTTGGAAATAGTCAGTATTTCCCTAACCCTTATCCTAGAGGAATATCCTTATCACAAAGGAATTCTGACAGTAGCAGGGTTTATCTTTGCATATTCGCTCATAAGCGTTATTCGAAATCCCGAACTCTGGCGCTTCCTAGTGTTTATCCAAGAGGGATTCACCAGCCATGGGGTCAAGCGTCCAGAGCCTGACCCTCTCCATTCTTCTCCTGTTATTGCTCTCGGGGAAAGCCCAGGCCTTCGGTGCTGGCAATATCGCATCAATTTCGCAAGTCGAGGGTCAAAATTGGCGCCATGGCGATATTGAAGATACATTGTTAACCTTGTTCCTGGCCCGTGCAGCTGGTGGCCGTAAATTTGGCAAGCTCGATGTGCAGCGCGTATATTTTGGAAATTGGCTTCGCGATTATAGCCAGGCCGTGGATGTCGGCACCCTGAAATATGTCAGTGCCGAAGCTATTCGCATCCTGATATGGGTTCTGGGATTTCTTAGTTTTGGGTAAGCCGTCAACATTTGCAGGCATTGCCGCAGTGATCACTTGCTGAAGAAACGTCTGCAGCTACGGAACCAAAGAATTTGAGGTGACCACTGAACGCCTAGGTTGCTATGAGCCTACTGAGCATATCGATAATCCTCTCGGTTATGCCGAAGGGGAGGACGCGCGCCGGTATGACCGTCGATTGAGAGGCCCTGTTGACGAGGAGCGCGAGCTGTCGGTCGATCCCAGGACAGGTGGGAACACCTTTTCAACTGAAAACTTAGCCCGGCTGACCTCTCAAATCCGTTACATCTAGGCCTGAAAAACTATATAGCTAGTGAAGATCTCGGCATCGGGACCTCTGCGGGCCTGGTCCGCAGAGTCTTTAAGCGTTCAGTTGAGCTGGGACGGCGGTATGCAAGATCACGTAATGATGATGACCTCCATGAGGCTCTTCGTTTGCTTGGCACTGGCCTCCATTGCTTGGAAGACTATGCAGCACATTCCAATTACACTGAACTGAGCCTTATTGAATTGGGAGAATCAACGGTCTTCCCCCACGTGGGTCGCAACACCAAAGTTGAAGTTGACGGTGCTCAGGATTACATCTATCCCATTGTCACTGGCACTTTTGGCGGTGTGGACTTTTTTCACTCAGTACTGGGTGAGCTGTCGGACAAGACGATTCAGTCTGAAGTCCAGTCTCTTGAAGGGGTCATCAATGAGTCACAAAGTGGAACTCCCTCCGAGAGCCTCATACAGGACTTGCTCAACAAGATCCCCGAGGGACTGATTGGAAATAGCGATGATCAAGCCAACAAAATGGACGAGTTCAAAGCCAAGTCTCAAAACGCCAAGCAGCACAATCAAGAGATCAGTCCCCGTGAGCCCGAGGAGTGGACGCGGTACTTGGACAATGTGCATCAGCAGATTTACCCTGTTCTTGAGTGGCATGACGAGCTCATTAAGTCCATCAATCGCGCC